TTTTAAAATGTACGACTGTCGTGCAAAAACGGAAAGCACCAGATACCATTTTGCCCCGCGTTTTCGCCCCGGTAGAATAATATCTTGAAAATTGACTCGAAAAGGGGTAAGACCACTGCAAAAACCTGAAACGAAGCGTTTTTTTGCAATTTGATTTTTGGATGGATGGAAATGTAAGAGGATAATAATATTCAAAAATGTTATTAACCATGTCGTTAAGTGTTACATAAAAAAATATTTAGTCAAAAATAGTGCAAAATGACGACGCTGGAGCCATTCACGTGAGGCGTGTTTTAAATTTGAGGCGCTCTGCGGCGCGCAGCGTAACTGACGTAAATTTGTATCTGGAAAAAAACAAAAAATTTTCTCTTAATCTACATGGGTATAGCTAGAGAAATACGTAGGGGATCTTCCATAAGTTAATTTTAACATTATTTATTGACAAATGATTGAAAATTGAAATTTCTACTTCAAATGCTCGCCAATCACAAAAAAATTAATGATTCAAAAATCCCATACGTATTTCTCTAGCTATACTCATGTAGATTAAGAGAAAATTTTTTGTTTTTTTCCAGATACAAATATTCATTTTGCACTATTTTTTAATAAATATTTTTTTTTATACTTAACAACATGGTTAATAACATTCTTGAATATTATTATCCTCTGATGTTTTCCATCCATCTAAAAAAAAATCGCAAAGAAACGCTTTATTTCAGGTTTCTACAGTGTTCTACAGTCTTACCCCTTAAGGGGCCTTTCTGCTTTGTGGGTTTTAAAAAATCGAATTTTTTTTTCCATTTTCTATTACTATGTAGTCTCGAAAATATATCTACCAAATATTAAATTAAAATTTGAAAAACTAACGAAGTTATAGCCTGCTGAAATGTACCATATAACAACTGGACGCGAAACTTTAAAGCTGTTTTTCTCGAAACTACATTTTTCGGCACTGCGTAAGTGATGACAAAAAAACTATTCAAGATATCAACATGAAATTTATACAGTATGTTTAGAACTGGTCTCCCTGTAGCATGAACTAGGACAATTGCGATATATGCAATACTTTTTCTTTTATTAACAAAAAAGCAACCGAATATATGAAAATATTCAGTATTTTTTCGTAAAATAGCTGCTATTTTGTCATTTTTTGTTTTTTGAAAAGATCCTAGTTCATGCTATAACCACACTCATCTATATTAAGGATATCGTTGGTTTTTAAATTTCGGATAACTTGTTCAACAAAACAGCGTAATCAATAGATATTATGTGTTGGAAAAATTCGTAAATATAGCTAAATATATAATAAATGTATCTACAAAACCCGGAATTAATCACTCTTTAATAGCCCGCAAAAGAAAAAATCACAAAGAAACATGTATTTTTCGTGCCTGCAAGGTAGAATGGCCCCTTAATATACAAAACGAGTATCACAACAATTTAGTTACAGCGACTGTATATGACCGCGTACGAAAGGGGAATAAATTTGGGAAAATGTTCGATGGGGACGGGCGAAACGCGTCGGAACACGTCGCTCTATTTTTCGACTGACAAAGTTTAAAAGCATGCAGGCGTATCGGTCGTAAAGCATTTTGTAAAATACGGGCACGGGATCGACGGGCAAGAGGATCTCCGAAATGCCACGAGTTCTAAACGAACCTCCCGTGACGTTCGCTTCAATCACACTTTAGAATTCCGTGCATCATTGGAAGCTACCCGGGGTTACACGAATTATTTCCTACGTGACCTTTGCCGTTCGCTAGTAAGAAAGCACATTTTGCTCGCGCGCTTGATATATGATTCATTGTTGAATCGTGGATGTCGGTCACGACGTTTCTGCGTGATGAACATAAAATGTGCAGAGAAGGAAACCGATCCACATTTGCGTAACAAGTTTCCGTGACGGGGGAGCCAACTCTTATGCGAACCAGCCACGGGAGCACTTTCTGCGATTGAAAGTTAATTCGACGCTTGGTATTTTAATAAAAATTGTTACAAACTTCGTATATTGTTGGAGAGATAAATTGAAATAGTAAAATAAAATCTTTTCTACGCGGAAAAATCGGTTACTGCTCCAAATACTCGACCGAATGGTATTCGGTTTAATGGATTTCCCAATGAATGTTAATCGCGAGCTATTTTTAAAGCGGTATAATTACAAACGTTGTTCTTTCAAAGTATCAAAGGATTTGCATTTCGATCGATGGCAATGCAAACAAAGTACCTGTGCATTTGCAATCCCGTTTAATAGCTTCTGTTTACCAATTCGTAGGAATATTTGGTACAGGCGCTGAGATCATTCGAATTTTTAACGTAACGTTACAGAATAATTCTGATGAAACTTTGCGGTCTCGATATCGAAAGGAACAACTGTAAATCTGAACTGTTCGCGGGCATAGCGTTAAACGGTTCTCTGTATTCGGGCTGATTTTCATGTACTCCGTGACGCAACGACTCGATAAACTCGAAGGCGCGGGGTGATCGATGTTCGCGACATCGTTGGGAATTCAAAAGGTTTATAACCGGGATCGTAATCCCGATTGATCGAGTTCCCCTTTACAAATCTGCATCCTCCCTTTGGCGTCAACGCAAAGGTACGACGAGAAAATCCACTGCGGATCTTTTACCAGAACATCCATTTATTTGACGCCCGTCAACCATACGCCGCTGCTGTAATTCCACGCCGATGACGGTTCAAAGGCAAATTACCGGCTGGTAGACGGGATATTAAGCTCAGAGAATTACCGATCTATGATTAACGACAAACGTAATACATCATCTTACTTTTCGCGTGGTGAATCTGACGTTTCTGCACGTCGTACTGGTAAGGTAGAAAATTTTGCAACGTTCCTTTTTATACGAAAAAACTTCAATCTGAACGATATAGCGAGGAAGCACAAAAATATAACCGTTGCTATACAATACAATGCGTAATACAACGCGAAACAAAGCCGTCTGAAAGAACTAAGAAAAGTTGGACGAACCGCTGACTGAAGATGAAAACGCTCTGTACACACCGAGCGTTCCATTGTTCGTCGTGGAAATTCAAATTTTTCGCGCTGATCAGAATTTTCGTCCCTCCTAAACAGTAATTTAATTCCTCGAAGTATCCCTGGGCTGGCGAGTCGAGCAACTCCTCTCAAAGGAAATTAGAATTTCTAATAATTAAGGACCCGACTTGAGAAATCGGAGAGGATTTTTAAACGATGAATGGCTCTCGCCGTGCGCGATTAATGGGGCTTGTACATTTATTAAGTGAGAATTACGAGCATAACACGAGTAATCTGATATTCATCTCTTAGAAAATCTATTGAAAGGATTTCTCTGTACCAGAGGGATCCGCGAACTTTTACGGGGCTAAGTGGGTCAGTAATATCGTAGAAAAGTATCGTCTTCTTGCGCTTTAATCACAGCATTAATAATCACAATGGCCGTGCATGCATGTATATAAAAATGCAGAGGACTTTCCGCACGTGAGACTCTGCATTAATTTCAACGAGCACGCTTTGATCAACTGTCCTTTTATCCCACCGTTTCCTTGCGTTTAAGCTTTCGTATCATTTTTTCACCGGAGAATTAAGCGTTTCGTTATCTGAAAATTCCGTTAACAGCCGAGTCTATTAAATCGAATAACGGAGATGCGTTTCCAATTTTTAGAAAATATCCTTAGCGTTGCTTTTAAAGTCGATTTCAATAAACGCTGCTCGTAAGACGCGCCGTTAGCATCGCGAAACAAATTCGTCCCGCTTAAAATGCACCCCGAGGCTAATTTTATTTTTTAAGAACCCGCTCGTAGGCATCCGCAACGACGAAATTGCTTCCACGACGTTCTTTTATTTTTCGGGAGACTAAGTTCTCCAATGTTTCACGTATCTCGGGGCCGCATTCTCGGTCGCACGAGGCATAATTTCCCTCGTTCGTGGTTCGTGCCACGAACAAAAGGGTATCAAGCATTCTCGGTTTTTCAGTTCGAAACGCGGGTAGAAATATTTTTTAATTCCTTTGTTGCGCCGTGCACGAAACCCGTGATGCGTGCATAAAAGACGCGGATAGAATACGCCCGTGAAATCGTTGCTGGATCATGGGCTGCTTCCCCGTGTTCTTTATTCCACGACGGCCGAGATCTAACCTAAATTCACCTATTTCACTGTCTCGTCGCGACGCTGAATACCGCGAATTTGCCCGCGTAAATTCGCGGTCTTGGGAGGACGAACGTGGCGTAAGTAATGTATGCAAATGCAATAACTTTCGTGGATATACCGTAGAAATCTTCGCGACCGGTTCGAACGTACCCCGCAATTTCGCTGATCCATTTGTGTCGCAAATTACGTCGTTAGATTCGAATATCATCGTAAACGGTTTACCAGCGCGTAACTTGCTGGCTATTTCATGCTTATCGAATCGTACAAGAATAAGCAGGTCCTTTCCTGATATAAATATGACTCAAAACGTCCTTTCCATAAGTATTTTATACTTATCGAAACATGTACGAATAAGCAGATCTTTTCCTTGTACAAATACGAGCCGAAAAGTCCTTTTCACATTTGCTATCCCACGCTTGGTTATCGAGATACGAGCAGTGAAAGTTGTTTGGCGCGCAAACGTCAAAGACACGTGTTTCCTGCACGAGCAGCTGACTGGGACAAAAACACCGCCGCGAGTCACGTTTGTGCTTGTATCTCGATAACGAAGCTTTAAACTGCAAAATGGTAAAGGACTTATCGATTTCTATTTGCACCAAGAATCGATTCAGAGAAAAGATTTGATATTTAAGTAGTTTGTATACGCGATTCGACGGAAAGTTGACCGGTGAAATTGGCGAGCAATGGCGACGGACGGATTATCCTCGATCCTGCCGAATGGATCGCAGCCGATCGACAGTTTCTCCCCTGAAATTCGTGCGCTGTCGCCGATCGACGGCGTTTTTCCGTCGTGTCGGCCGTGCTGCGACAGAAGAAGAAGGAGAAAAGAAGGCAAAAGATGAGCTAAGAGGGACTCACCGGATCAGCTCGAAGATCTCCGGCTTTTCTCGTTCCCTCTGCTTCATTCTGTCCTTCATGGCCGTGATTATGCTGTTCGCCTTATCCTCGGCCCCGTGTTTCGAGCTCTTCTCGGCCGCTCCTGGGAAAATGAAACAAACGCCGCTCGTGAAAACTCGTCTCCACGAAAAATTAAACGTTGGGTTCGGTGCAAACAGTTTCATTCTACTGTTTTCAATTCCACATGAATTTCGTTCGATTTAAATGCAAGAAATTATATCAGAAATATCCATAAAAATGTTTAAAAGAACTTAAATCGATGCAATATCAGTAAATGTAGATATATAAGATACGAGAAAGGAAGTTTGAATAGACGTCTGTTTTATTTCTCATATTTTACAGATTTACGTCTACCACTGACTTTAAAGAAACTTCATTTTATCCTGTTTAAGGCATTTGAGTTTAATAATATTCGTCCGATTAAAGAAAATCCACGTGCTATTGTTCGATCGAGCCACCGACGGCAGTTTGGTGTAAATGCATGGGCAGGAATAATTTACGATAATGTAATTGGATCTGTTTTTCCTGTCGGGAGATTGACGGGTCAATCTTATGTTAATTCCTTTGGTAATCAATTGCATGAGCTATTGGAAGAAGCTCCATCAACCGTTGTGTGTAGCACGTGGTTTATTCATGACGGTGCACCGCCACATCGAGTAGCCAGACAGTTCTTAAACGAACGATTTTCCGTGAGATGGAAAGGTCGTGTAGGATCTATTGTATTGCTTGATCGCTTTTCGTATTTAAATCAACCGGACTTTTATTTTTAAAACATTCGGTTATCCATCACCCATTTCCTGCTTTGGCAATTTACACAAAGGTTGGAATATTTGAAATACTGAGGAGCTCTACGGCGCAATCGTTACTTGAAATCTGACATATTTTTAACAGGACAAAAATGGCAATCAATTTAAAGATTAAGATCATTTCTACGAGATCCCGTATGAGCAAAATAAACTTACAAATTGAAAATGAAATTAATTCCAATGGTATCGAACCAAATTACCGCGATACTTTGAATAGTCTCTCGTTTCGAAAGACGCACTTTTCAAACGTTCCGAGCCTCTGCGTTTTTCGTCGACGGGAGCTTTAATTTTCCGGTGCGAGCCTCGACGTGGCCGTTTCACAGAGTGGTTCCTCCACGAAAATGTTGCCTAACCGGGGCGGAAATTACGCGCACCGATCGTTCGGGTCGCTAGACGCCGGAACAAATTCTAGGCGGTTCCCTAAGGGGAAATAGACCCTTTCTGGTGAAAAAATGGGCGCGTGTCGGTTAACGGCGAATAAGCTCGAAAAACGTAGGAGCCGTGAACCGTGCGGAAATTTGGTATCAGCCTGGCGCGTCGACAAACGGTCCTTTCAATCCCGATGGAAAGCTATCATCGCTCTTATTGACACTTTAACTTTATTGATAGATTGATAGATCTATTGGCCTGGCCAGCGTCCTCCGAGAATATAAAACCAGAGGAAAACTATTTACGGGTACAGTGACTGTTACGAAGCTGTTTTTCTTGACAGCTGGAATAGTAGATAAACAATTGATTTGCTACGTCGTAATTCACACCTTTGCTCGGAAGCATCGCGGAGTGGTTTTCTGCTCGAAACGTTTCGGTTCGACTGTGGCAGGTGGGAATTTCGAACGTGGGTTAAATTCGTTGTGTTTAGAGCTCGCAAACGTGCACTTTGCGGCAAACGAGGTCAGTCTTGGCAGCCTGATGCCAAAGTAGAGCTGGTCCAGGGCCTGCCTGTTACCGCAAGATTATAAGAAGGTACGGACGAGGAAGCGCTAATTGGAAATTGGATTAGCATTATTATTATTTAGTACACGTGTAACAGATTCCTTTGACGCCAGAAAGGCTATCGAACATAGAATTTAATACGTAGAGAAGAGTTGGTACACTGACGGAACGAGGCACGCGAAAGGGATTGTTAATATTAATCTAACATTTATCGCATTTTCTTTTAATTTGCAACACAAAGTCGTGGGAATATTAATTTACGTAAATTCAGTTTCCAATCAATTACCGATCGCGCACGAAACAATCATAATTCATGTTCGCCAAACGCGAGCGGGTACTCAGACTTCCGGCCGAACGAATAATTAATTTAGCATCCGCCGAATGGATCCGGTTTAAACAAAAACTCCTCGTATGGTCCAATTAGGCGTCCGTCGATCAATGCGTGCTTTCCATGCATTTGCACAACCTGCAAAACATTTTGTCGTTTTGCTCGGTCCAGAGTCATCGGCACTCTCATAAAATAATTCTCCGATTAAAACTTTAACCTTTGTTCTACAAGCAACCAAAAATGGTTACTGTTATTTCAACATAAACTTTTCCATTCTTTGAGCACAATATGTATTTCCTTCTTGGCCAATTGCGCCGATCGGTTTGTAAATTTTCGAATATTCTGGACTTCGCGTTGCGAATACAAAAACATTTTTAATTGAGCCATTTGGCGTTTCTATGCGGAAGAGCGAATGGAAAATGTGCGATGAAATGTTTTTCCTACGATGCTTTGTTTCCGAGCACATTGGTTTTAAAACTTTTTACACCGTGCGTGCTATTGAATGCGATTCGATGGACGTATCCGACTATTACTCGTTATTTCTACTTGCGTTTTAAACATGTTCGCATCGACGAGACTGTTTATTCCAGCAGAGTTCAACTGTGATGTTAAATCAATTATAGTAATTATTCCATTGAGATTTCAATGATACTCGTGGTTTGAAATTGTATCTTACTAATACCAACAACTATTTGTTTCGATAATTCTAACGCGATGCTTGGGGATCGACGCGTATTTATATTAATGACTACTTATGTTATTGGATGGGCCCGGATCGCTAATGAAACTCACGATCAATGGGAAACGCGTCAACGCACGGGGTTTCGGGTCACTAGTTTTTCACGATCGAACTTCCCTCGCGGGCAGATTAATCGATCGTTCGGCGAACCGCTTAATCTAGCGTCGATTTAATTGAAACGTTTATCCACGATGGCTGCTGGCGCGGAAATTTTGTAAATTCTTTCCCGTTAACGCCGCCACTGGGAGCGGTTCGACGATGCTTCGCAAAAATTTATATTCATTGTTTGGTGAAAGAAATATGGCGGGGTCGTGAAAATAGCGAGGGTTGAAGGTGTAGGGCGCTTGATGTCGAGAGTCAAGACACTCGGGGGCAAGATAAGTGCCCCGGAGACGAATTCTGTCCACAATTTTGGACACTACCCTACGTACCAGTAGCAGCATTCCTCGTATTTATATTATATACTGTCACTAGTATCAGGATAATAAATTTATTATTTTTTCGTCGCTCCTGTTTAAAATTGCTTTAATAATTTACTACGACCATTAGATTGAAAGGCTCGCCGCAAACCACGGTTCTAGTAATTTTAGGTTAATGCAGTGTATGCTTTTAATTATGTAGATACGTATTAAATGGGTTAACTGAATATTTCGAACATATCGCACGTAAAATGAGATAATTTATAGTTCATATTTCATTTATTCGCGGTGAACGGAGGGTGGAAAATCATCTCTGCGGTCTTTTAGTACTCGAGTACTTTTTAAAAGAAGAATGCAAGTTAGGTATAGTTAAATATATAATTAAATATTTTTAAGGAAACCAAAAGCATTTTGATGTTTACCAACTTCGTTAATGCGAGTTATTAGTGTTCTTTCGCTGTATCGTTTTAATAAAAAATTATAAACATTGCCCATACGTCGACTGGAGACACGGGGAAAGAACTTTTTTAATAATCTACGGTTTAACGGCTGTCCACGTGGCTTTATACTTTATAATGTATATAGTCCATGGTCTAGAACGTAGTAATAAGCGTAAACTGAAAGTTTTTGCATTCTAACGTAGGCGGCAAAGGTTAAAGCAAAGAATACTCGACCATGTAAAAAGAACTCTCTTGATTATGCAACAGTTCTCCCTTTCATTCGATTTTTTTTTTCTTTTACTATTCTACTCGCATCTGCACGTTGTAGAAGCAACGTTTATCGTGGCATTTTAATTTTTTCTTTCATTTTATTCGACTCTTTGGAAGTCTAACGTACATTATATAATAAATTATTTATTTTTGTATTGCATATCGCGATTCTATCGACGTCGAATTAGTATACTATTCCGCGATCACTAATTTTCGAAGCGGCCGCGCGGACAGTCGAATTAATTGCACAGAAAACTTGTTTAATTAATTAATTTATTACGTAGCGTTAATTTAACAGAAACGAACGCACGCGTTGTTAATTAAATCCGGTATCCAGCCGGATTATTATTCGAAATAATATAGCAACCGTTCCCAACAATCTCCTGATTCGGGGAGAATTCTGTGGCGTCGCCTCCCATGCTCGCCACCAGAGGGGTCGCGCTCTCACAAGCGCTCGACCGACCCCTCGGTTGCTACATTCCTCGACCGACTTCCCGATATCCCAGTCGTCTAAGGCAGGGCCTGGTAGAAAGCATAACTGGATGAGTCCACTAGTAGGCCCGGACGAAACGTGCCCCCTCCTTTTCTTTTCTGTCCTCCTACGAATTTCCCGAGATCCTACCCGCAGCGAAGCAGCGTCACAATTCTATATCACGAGAAATTAGTTTCGAGAAACTATTAAAGCGCAATCATATTTCAATTCGTACAACTTTCGAATACTTCCACGCTGAAATAAGACTGCTCGTCCAGATATTAATCTTCGAAACGACCCGAGTAGAATTGGTTTCCAAACTTTCACAGCCTCGAAGTAGGTTCGGGCGAAATTAGTAATGCAATCGTAGATACACATAAACCCGTACGACAAATTCACTTTACGCTGGTGTTGTTCCCAAGTTGGGCGAAGAAACGTTCCATAAATATTAATTCGAAACAGATTTGCAGGAAAAGTTCTATTCGAATAGCGAACTTTTCGAAATATATTTTCTTGGATGGATATTCCCGGTAATTGGGCCAACTTCGAATAAATTCCCTGAAAATTCGAACAACCCTTCAGACCTCGTCTTGTTAACGTCAGCAACGCGCTCGAAAATGTTGCGTTGCTCGCAAAATTCGAGCATGCTCGCTTTTCGCGGTCGCGTCGCAGACATTAGACGCGCTCGTTAATTACTTTCCTACCCGTGCCTCTGGCAATTAAGTTCGGAGAAACGCGGCATAATATTCGCGCGTATCAACGTCGTTGTTCGCGGTAAGTTACTGTCTCGGGGGTTTGTTTTGCATGCCGCTAACGTCCGCGACTTTTCACTCTGGAGGAACACGCGTTCCAACGATCATGGTTAAATCAGTAGCCATTTTTTATCAATACGTATCGTCAAACTCGTGGAAATCGTTGCACGGTATGTACATTCTTAATTAACGTTAACGTCAAGCATAAATGTCAGGTACAAAATTAACCTCTGGCTTTGCTTCGCATTTGTGTAACAGGAAAACATTTATGGTCGGACATTATATTTTCGGTAAGGAATTTTTTTCTCGTAAGTGCGTAGGATTTTGAGGGTATGTCTATTCACCAATAATGATTGTAATTGATCCATGCAACTAAATATAATTTTTTTAGAACGATTTGAAAATTTCTTTTTCGCCGACAAATTTTTGCAACTACTTGAATTTTTTTCTCGAAAATACGCAGGAATTCAGGGGTATGTCTACTCACAAAAAATGATTATAATTCACCCCCGCAACCGAAAATAATTTTTCCAGAACGATTTGAAATTTTTTTTTGTCGTCGAAAAATTTCGCACCATTTCGAATTTTTTTCTAGAAAGTGGGTAGGAATTCATGGGTATGTCTACTCACCAAAAATAATTGTAATTGACCCTAGCAACCGAAAATAATTTTTTTAGAACGATTTGAAATTTTTTCTTTCGTCCAAAAATTTCACGCCTTCTCGAATTTTTTTCTGGAAAGCAAGTAGGATTTCGGGTGTATGTCTATTCACCAAAAATGATTGTAATTAATCCCCGCAACTAAAAATAATTTTTCCAGAAGTATTTGAAATGCTTTATTTTCTAGTAGGATCGTACAATAAATGATTATTATTTCGTTAAAAAGTGAAATCGAGTCGAATAGTATGCCGGGGGAAGTAGCTCGATCGAGAGTCGTATGTGGAATTGAGTTTCGAAGGTGAGAAAAAAAATATACAATGGGTACTCACTTTGCAGACAGTCCGCGTTGAGCAGGTCTTTGCACTTTTCGTGGCACTTGACACCGCACTCCGTGCACCGCACCCCTTGTCGAGCGATGCCCCAAAGAAGACCCTCGCACTCGTAGCAGTAGGTCGGCGACGTCGCCGTCCAGGTAACGAACTTGTGCGGCGTCGTCGAGGAGATCGGGTAGATCATAGCCTGCAGCGTTTTCTTGTACACGTGCATCTTCTGCGGGGGTTTCAGCGTTGCACAGCGTCGTTAAAATGCGCGCACAGAGAGATGTCGTATAGACGGGAGTGCGGATGGGGTTGGAAACTGTTTCTTTAACCATACAACTCGAGACCTCGGCTCGCTGCTTACGCGACGAACTGATTTTCGATCCGCAAACATGCAAAGATCTTTAACGAAAAACAGTTCCTTCCGAGCGCCAGGAATATTCTCGACTTTCCATTTAAATGAAAACGATTCGTTCCGATTTGGAAATCGACATCTCGAGCGGAATGGCGGTGCCCTTGCGCCGTTCGCGGAAGGGTCACTGTAAAAACAGATTCACGAGACGTCGATTTCGACGGGCAGAAAAATTCTAATCGTTGCTTGCAACGTCTGGATTCGAGCAGAGAGTCGAGGTGTCAGCATTCGCCAGTCAATTCATCGAGATCGCGAAGGCGGTTTCGAACGATCTCTCGATCGCCAGGAACTTTATTTTTAATTTCAAGACTCTCTAAAAATTCCAGATCAATTTTTTATATTATCGCGTCCGCGTTCTCGATGGGTCCCATTCGTCCCGTCTGTCATTCCCACGAGCTCGCCTCAGACTTTTACGGTCCCATGCAGAATCAAACACCATTTTGCAAGACGCCCAGGCACTCTCGTACACGCTTGCCAATCACGCCAAATCTATCACGCGCGTATAGTTACACACAAGATCATAACGTGCCGGGAGCGTTGGTGCCTGCGAGACCTAATTACATACGCAATCCTGTGTACACAGATTAAACAGGGGGGGGGGGGACTTCTGGGTGGATGTTCAGCCGCGTGCGAGATTCGCAAGGATCTCCGTTCGAAATACGATGCCTGGTTCCGCACAGTATCGCGGCTGGCGTCCTTTCGAATCTCCTCTAACGAGGGGGCTAACAACGCGTGGGAGAAGCCAGACGAGGAGGCTAATCCTTTAACTGCTCCGGATGTGTGTGCTGCGCTTGTCGACTGTTTGCGCTGGCTGTGCAGTCTACGCAACCCATGCACAGGCAAACCAATCATTTTTCTTCCTCCTATAGCTGTAATCCTTGTGCGATAGTCGCCGTTTACGAGCCGAGAGTGTGTCAAGCGGGCTCAAAGTGGGAGAAAGTCAGGTAAACGTCAGGTACGAGAATAGAATATGCTCGGAATATTCCTATTATGCATGCTTTGACTTTCGAACTAATCCTGGATGCGACTTCAGGTCGCGAGTGATTTTATTTTTAGGGCTCGTAAGTAAATTCGTGTAGACATTTGATAGATTTATAATACAGGGAAACGTCGGTGACAAATTCACTTACTGATCTTATAATTATTTATTGGCATGTCAGCTGAAATCACATCCTGGGTGAGATTATCAGGGTTGAAGTAGAAGTATAAAATTGCAGAAGGAAGTAAACGTATTAATAGTAACGAGAATAGTGATTCTATTTTTTTGTTTTTTTTTGGAAGAATTTAATTGAATTCTTTGAAAAGGTATCGTTCATTACCGTTTTAATTTGTTATTAAATTAAATGTCCGCTTCGAAAACTGTTCGACGTTCGAGAGAATTTTCGCGTTTACAATTATAAATTGCGTTATTTAAAAAAATCTACTCGATCCTACATGTAAAAATTGATTGAAAATGTGAAATAACATTTTTATATAGGAGGTTTCGTTCCTGAGAAAATTAATTGTGAAAATTCGTCGGTCAGGCGTCTGATCATTATTCGTTATTTCTACTTGCGTCGGTGTAATTTGTAAAATTAGACGTTGGTACGGTATTGGCTGTTTCTCAGGGTTTCAAGAAATGATATAAGAGTATTTTAGGATCGAAACAGATAACGCTATACCGTTTACAGTGGGCGAGAAAATTAATTCAAGTAGAAATATCGAGGTATGGTCGGACGAGTAGTAATAACAAGGTGAACGTTCGACTTGGATTTTCTCGAAAACGAAGGCCCCTATAAGAAAACTTTATTCTACATTTTCGACTCATTTTTATACGTAGAATCGCCTCCTTTTCCATTCGGTACAAAATCAATGTTTGGTGTCTCCGGAGATCGAGTAGAAAGAGGGACGTTGAGACGAGAGAATCAGAATATCGAGCACGTAGAATGTTCCGATTGTTCCGGTTTCGATAGCTCGGATTTTTAAAAGTTTTTTAACAGTTTTACGTGCACAGCCAGCGCCGCAGTCCTCGAGGATCCGCGCAGCGTGCAAGATGAGCTCACGCGGTTCCTCGATGTTTTCAGGAACTATTTCTTCGTGTCTCTCGAATGCAGGACGGTTGGCCCGCAAGCTCCCGAGGTGCTTGGCCTCGGTTCTTTTCACTCGATTTTTATTCTTTCTCTCGTATCGACACTTCGAAAGGACTTCCTGTCGGATGATCGAAGAGGGGCAATTGCATTCGGGCATTTCTCCCTCGGTAAACAGTACATTTCCTACGGACTCAACGAACATCCTTGCTTTCGATTCGTTCGCTTCATTCTTTTTTTTTTTTGTTTTTTGTGTGTTTCAAGTATCGGGGACTTTGAGAGAGAGAGAAAGAGAGAGAAAGAGAGAACACGTTTTCTAGGTGTCGTACTATTGGAGCGCTCTGCAAGGGATGTAAAAGCATCGATCCGCTAAAAAGCACTATAGGGGGTGACGCCGTGAGTTCGGGATGTTCCTCATTTTTTTCCCCCCTCTCCCGTTTTCCTCCCCGCTCTTCCTCGTTTCGCTGTCAGCGGTCCGCGGGGCCTCGAACTGCTCGCGTTGCAAACAAGCATTTTAGTCGCATAATGGGAAATTGCTTATCTGGGTACACGGAAACTGTGTTACAGAGTCGTCGACCTCTCGTAAATTTCCAGCTATTAAGTGCTGTTATTTGAACCGGGCCGAAACGTACGGATCCTCGCGAGCTGAACCGAGGACGAATCCCGAATTGTTGTTAATGTTCAGACTCGTGTTTCCAGAATAAAATGCTCTATCGATCGCTTCTATCGAATTTTCTTGTAATTTTTATCTCTGCGTACAGTGACAGAAACGTACTGTTTATAAATTTTTCAAGGTAAAACAGCAGAATATTTTTGCTTCTTTTCTGCGTTCTCGTTAGGAAACATTCACACTTACTGTCTTTGAAAATAAATTTGGGCCAAAGAGCTTGAAAATGTCGTAAATGTTTAATGTGCTGCCGTCATAGGCTAATATTTCTCTGGAAAATGGAAAGCACTGACAGTATCCACGGAATCAATTTGTAATTAGGCATCGAAGTTTGATATTCGATTGAAATCCACGAGGAACATCCGCCACCACGAGCAGGGATCGGAGAATCCTAGCACTAGCCTAATCACACCCGGTTTACATGACCACTGTAGCATCTCATGTCCACGAATTCCTATACGTGACCCACATACATACACACATCGCGATCGTACGTTTGGACCACTACGCTCGCGTATAGCAAATTCTCGCGACGAGTGTGTACAAATACTTTATGCATGTACGCATGACGTTCACCCTAGCCGCTAGAAGAAAACGACTCGTCTAGGATCGCTACGAACGTTGCTTTATCTCAGAGTCACAGAGCGTGATCAAACAGAAAGACAGACAGAAAGAGAGAGATAGATAGATAGATAGAGAGAGAGAGAGAAGAGAGAGAGAGATAGAGAGATAGAGAGAGAAAGAGAGAGAGAGAGGCAAAGAAAGACAGTAGACAGACAGGTAGAGAAAGTTCGAAAGTAAGAAAGAAAGAGGTAGAGAGAGACAGAGGTTGGGCCACACTTACGTGAAAGAAAATAGCGCGGAAATGAGGATAAAATGCAGCACAGTTCATGTGAAAAGAAAAAAAGTTATCAGAGGTTAAAGTCCAGCTCCACGAAGAGCCTTCACCGGATACGCGAGGATGCATGTCGCAGCTTAAATGTTAGATGACGCGTGTCTTACGTTCTAGAAAATGGCCGTGGATCTTAAGTCTACGTCCTGAAACGGATCTCTGCGGAGGATTCGTCCAGAAACGATAATCGCGGAACTATTTGTACGGGACTGGGTGTCGGCGCTCAATTATGCCTTCGACGCTTACGACACTTTCCTACACGCGATTGCTTCAAGATTCTGTAACGGTCCGAAAGAATCGTTACTCCCCTTTCTAAGAACGATACTTCCTTTTGGAATTATCTGTTTTCCGCAGCACGGCCAGTTCAAATAGTAGATCGTCGATCGAGGATGCAAGAATTCGTTCGATTCAGAAAGGACAGTTTCATACTGTTCTTTAGAGGCATATTTATGAAATTGGAATTTTAAATGGAACGATATATTTTTATCGTATCAAGCTTCTCGTTCCGTGTAATCAGCCGTCTGTGAGATATTGCTATCAATGACTATAAAGATGAAGTAAAACTCTGCGAAGCTGGATACATAAGTTCGTTATAAGATCAAACTCGTGACTACTTTTAGTATTACGACTGAGCTTTGCAGACGGTTGATCGCTACGACGTTCGTATAATTTCGAGCGAAATACAGAATAAAGTAGAATGTAATAAAAATACGTAGTTCCATTTAAAAGTTTATCTTAAAATTTAATTATACTTTCATTTGTTTTCCTTTCTGGACCAAACTCTGGTTTTGCATCTTCGATAATGTAATATCACTCTACTACATTTTCATGTGAAACGTATTTATTGATGCTAGTGGAACAAATATGGCTTCTAGGATCCAATATGGCTTTTCTCAAAGTCTTCATACTGGATTTGTCAAACTTGATATACACGATACACGACATGCAACATTTGACATACACGATTCTCTACTGAATTATTATATTTTTACAATTTTAAAAGTTTCAGGAATGTCAGGAATTTAGTACCGTGGATGTCTAGAGTTTCGGAGAATTCTGGATGACTCGCAGGCATCAATGGTTTTCGGTGGCTCTGAGAGTCTCGAGAGTCTCGAAGATACCGATTTCAAGGATCTCTGATATTTCAAGGACTCCAGCGACCTCTAGTACTCTCGATATCCTCAGGACTCTGTGGAATCCTTGGTGCCCTCAGGATTTCTAGAACCCACTACTACTCCTATATCTGACATCCACGGGGGCTCTATCATCGTATTGGAATCCTTTATAGCCACGATAGAAACGGAAATCTATAACATCCAAGATCTCTGACGAGTCCTAATCGTCTACATCAGGTCTGACAAGTTCAATGTTGAGCGAGTTCAATGTCAAGCTCCACACATCCAACTCGAATGAAACAAGGTCGTGCCTCATAATTAGCTATATGCATCGCGTTTCACTGATTTTTCACCAATACGCACAAGCATCATGGAAACAATAGTATTCGTCCAAAGATAAATTTCTATAAATATGGTTCATTTAATTTTGTAACCTTATTACGTTTGAACTACTGTTGCTTGTAAGTTACAAAGTGTAAAGAATCAGTTATTCCAAGTTTAAATCGACAAAAAAGACTGATCAAATTTCGTAAACCAATTTCCCGTTTCCACGATACTTTTTACGCGTCACTGGAACGTATTTAAACTGGCCACACTGTACATGTCTGTTCAACGATTCCGGTTACCTGTCACCTTTTGCGTTATCTAGACACGGCGAGCACTTGACTTTCGAAAAATCGTCGCTGATGTCTATCGTTCTCGCGCGATCTTCCAATCGGCGTCGAGTTCAACCTGTCCCCCGCCATCTCGCGCGACACTTAGCGATCGACGCGGCCGCGTTTTGTTCGAGTTCGTCCAGCTATCTCGCGAAACGAAAATTAACTGTCAAGATTTCTCTAACGAAGTTCGCCGACAGATATTAAAATTCCCGGACTCGAGGAGACTCCACCGTTAATTTCAATCTACCCGAGCGTCTACTTTGCGCGGGAAACGCTCTTTACCGCCGCTTCGGGACAGGTCCAGGTTCCAGCAACCCCGGACGATTGAATCTCTTGATTATCTACGGTTCCGTCTCGACAAGGGCCGCGGTTCTCTTCTTTGACGCGTTTTCGCGATGAAAAACGATCGATCGGAACACGCTTTTCGATCAGATTCTTTCTACCACGGCGATCGGATTTCAAACTCTTACGATCGAGAAACAGGATCGATTTTTGGCGACGATCGTTTTTCACGCAGAATGTGAAATCGTTTCGATAACTCCGTTCGCCGAACAAAGACGGCAGATTCCTTTCGATTCGTTTAATAGACGAAGGATGACGATGATGCCTGAAAGGATAATGGTTAAAGGACGAATTCTTACCAGCTCCTCGTCGTTCAATGTCGCTCTGGGCACCGCCGATCTCAGACCAGCCGCGTTCCTCTTCGTCACCGCCATTGTCTGGGGAAAAGATAGAAATTAATGCTCATCTGATTCGTGAACAATACCTTCCAGTCTCTCTATTGTGTAGACAGAGATAAAGAGCAGGAAGAGAGAAACTGAAAGGAAGAAAATGAAGACGGAGAACATGGTGATGACGTGGTAAACGAAAACGAAAATAAACCAAGAGACTGAAATTTGAGGTGAATGAGAATACACGAACTGTGTCTTGGGTGTAGATCCGCGTGGTGTACAGATTCTTTGAAACATTGAGATTATACAGCGACAGAATAACGAGAAAAATATATGTTGCGTTTACTGTGATCGATTCTATTCCAGAAGAAAATTAAAAAACAACATTTGGCACGCATGTCTGTTTACAAAAAAAAAAAAAAATTAAATGAAACTTTGAAGTGTAAATTTCTCACATTAAGAAGTGTTTATGCAATTTATACACGCATGTACTCTCATGCCAAATATATTTGAGACGTTTGTTTTGTTATTTACAAGTACTATTTACAGTCGTGGTAATATGTGTTCTATTTACATTGTTTTAAAGACGTGCTCTGAGCGTTTGTGGTAAGCTTCTCGATCTTCGATGCAAAGAAAATTTCGACCGAAAAAAGTTTGCTTGCGATCGCGTTCAAGCTAAAACGTACGATTCTCTATAAGCGAAAAATAATTAAGATTTCAAATAACTATTTAAAAATATTTAAAAGAACGTAAAGATCGAAGAGCCGTACTCAAAGACGAACTGGTACCGTCGCTCGAAAACACTTATCCGTACTAAAACATCGTCTAGACAGTGATGGAACGGAATCAGTGCGAACGAGTCGAGTGAACCTACGTCATGGAACAAAGACGAGAAGATGGACGGAGTTTGGTGAAAGCGAAATGAAGGGGTGGGGGAGGGGGGGAGGGGGGAGGTCGATGATGGAACTGTGCGGACAATAGGACGAAAGATAATGAAACGAAACGGTCGGATGAAAATGTAAACTCGTACCAAGACGATGGGCGTGGAGGAACGGAAACGTGAGAAATACAAATTAATGGTGGAATGACGGTGAAAGGCAGAGCGAGATGGAAATGGTGAATCTCTACACCGGGAATCTAATCCAATTAGCTTATGGCGCCCGACAGGTGCGCCGCTGTAGGAATTGCGGCTGGCTAGATTTCAATTAAGATATTATGCACGGGGCCCCGTGCTCGGTGCATGCGCTACTGTACTCGTCTCCGTTGGACAGAGACGCTAATTCCGAGCACTAATTTCCGCGCGTCGACTCTTTCGTATTTTCTATCAGCTCTTCTACCCTCTTTAAGCGTGCTCCTTGCGTGTCAAGCGTTTCCGCACGGGGCACCGTGATCACCTCGAGCTCGCAATCGTACTTTTTCGCCGCGTTTCGATTCCGCGAAACCCAAAACTCTCGAGGAAATTACGCCAGAGGACGGATCCTCGCCACAATCCTGTACGATAAAATACTAAATTAACAACGGTCGTGTATCGTTGCGTTTCATTCGCTCGAGTCTTCTTCGAGGCGATATTAAACTTCATTATTAACTTTCCGATCCATTAAATTTGATAAAATTAAATTAAATATCGAATCGATAGGGTAAATTTGAAAATGTTTGCCCCATACTGGACAATTAATTGGAGATTCCACGAAGAGTACACAAAGCGTACGACCATCGTTGATCGAATATTTTATTTTATGCGAAGGGCATTGTAAAACTAGTCGTTATAACATTCTATCTTCTGTTTTTAGTCTAATTCTTTTCTCCGTCCGAAGAACTTGGGCACACGCATGTCCTCGTTTCTTCAAAGTGCGTTTGCTGTCCCTTTCTCGTTTCTCCGAACAAAAAGGCATCGTTTTGCAGAAAAAGGTAGAATTAGAGAGAAAGGAATAGCGCCAAAAGGAAAAGAACCGGTGCGTTGACGTATACGCGATATGCGGTCGTTGGATCATCATGTCTACGCGAGATCAATCGTCTAATTACAATAAAACTGCGATAACGCACCTACTGACTACGGTATTTCGTCTACTTGTGCATGCGATCATCGTGACAAAACAATCTCACGCGAGGGTACATTCAGAATATTAAAATACCAAATGAAACGACGACGCGTCCAGCATCTTCGAGAGAATCTTCTCGTTTATAATTGTAAATTGGATTATTCCCGTAGAGTGATTGAAAATTTCAGGCGCAAAAAAATTTACGCCATTGTGTGTGCGAATGTCGATCGAAAACGTAGAATAACATTTTCACTATTAAATTAAATTAATCGTGAAAATTCATCGGTCACGCGTCCGACCATTATTCGTTGTTTCTACTTGCATCGGTCTAATTTGTAAAATTGGATGTTGGCACGGTATTGGCTGCTTCACAAGGTTCCAAGAAATGATATAATAGTAAGTTAGGGTTGAAACAGATAACGCTATACCGTCTGCAGTGCATGAGAAAATTAGTTCAAGTAGAAATATCGAGGTATGGTCGGACGAGTAGTAATAGCAAGGTGAACGTTCGACTTGGATTTTCTCGAAAACGGAGGCCCGTATAAAAAAAAATTATTCTACATTCTCGATACATTATTACACGTAGAATCACCTCCTTTTGCATTCGGTACAAGCAATGGTTTGGTGTCTCCGGAAATCGCGTGGATACGTCGACATTGTCATAAAAATAGACTTGTACACAGACTACGGCAAATAGTGACGAGCAAAACGTTAAATATCGCCGATGGGCGACAAACTACAGAACGTGCGAGCAACGCTTCCTTCGTTTTTGAAAATTGAAGCGTCGGAAAGCCCTTTCCTCTTCGCTAATTACGGCAATGCCAGTGCGTTCGGGGATAATTGCCTCCCGGCACGCGAAACGAGCACGGAACGCAATGTCGCTGTAATCCTTCGATTAGAAATTCTCCGTTACGTCGTTGCGAATTACGGCGCGAACATTTAAGCAGATTATCGTCGGTCGCGTTGCTCGCGCGAACGACGGGACGTGCATAACCAAAGTCGTCGTGGGGTTCGTTAGAACGTAACCAAAAGAGATAAACAACGAAAGGTTGGCGTGTAAATGTCGAGCTATGTGCGAAACAAAGTCGAGAGAAAACGAAATGTGCGCTACGCACGAGCTGAAAACGTGAGAGAAACCGTGAGCAACAGATTCGGCGAAGCATGCGCTACGTACGGCGAAACAAGCCTTTTATTTAACTTCGTTAAGGAGGCATTTAATTAGTACCTTCAAGACCTGGAGGTAGAATTTTTGAGAGGTTTTTTTCAGTGAGTGGTTTTGTTTTTTTCAGGTGTTCAGGTGGATACAACAACGGGCGCCACAGAGAACAAACAAAGAAAATGGCATTATATGCCGGTTAGTACGTGTATCGCTTGCATCTTTTTCTAGTATCTTTTCTTTTTTTTTTTTTGGTTTTAATGCTTTGTACGTTACGGATGACAGACACATTAAGAGATTAGATACACGGGAGGCACGGAACATGAATCGGGATCGACTCGTCGCCAAGAATAATCTTCGCTCGTCTCTGTCTTTTAAGTTTTATACGATTAAAAATTATTTATCGTTTTGCTGGTCCGTGAATGAGGTTTCTAATTATGCAATCTTTTTTATTCTCGTCGCGGAAGATTATTCCTGGACGGTGAACGGGAAATCCTGAAATCTCTGGAACGCGAAGGCGCATTTGCATTTTCATAATCTTCGCTAGTCGTCCCGGAAATCGCGTCTGATAATTAATGTTGAACAAAAGCCGATTCCAGTGATTTCTCAAGGCTTTCCGTCTAGCGTCTGGGCTCTCGTTTCCGGTCCGATTCGGCAGGACGATGCACCTCACGGACGCGGGTGGTGTCAAGGGCCAAGGTTACGGTACACAACAATCAAGAGAAAAATTGTCGACATCGAACATACAGGTTCACAGACACGGGTCGATTTCTAAAGGGTTGACAATCGAGAGATTCGAGGCGGTACAGAAGGGAGAAAGAAAGATCAGTATTGGAAGATACAACGTGTCTCGAATTCCAGCACATTTACATGTATTAATAAACCAGAAAATATCAGTTATAGTTTCTGAAAATTTCATTCCTCGGTAGCTACGAATTATAGATATACTTATAGTATTATGGTCTTAATAATTGGATTATTTAAATATTACCAACACTGATAGGAACACGCGATTGGAATTGAAATTTCATTGTTCGCTACGTCCACTTTCAAAGCGATAAAATTTAAATCTGAACGCTTTTACACATTTGGAAATCAAATTTTAATTCCACGTTTAAAGCCATAGTTCAACAAGCGCATAGCCCGTTTTTCTATCGCCACTTTCGAGCAATGGCACGTTTTCGGAGACGAGAGATGATTTAACAATAATTACGAGATCAAACGTGACGAATGAAATTCATTGCATTCAAGGAACTGGCATTGGTATCTTCAATGCCAGCCCTGTTATTGCAGAGGATTGGAATTCCTTTTCAAAATGATGCCAGGAGACCATAAATCATCGTACTTGAAATTCTATTCTAAATCTATAATATAAATCATAATACCGAAATCCCGTAATTTTGCATGGAGTACTCTGACATTACTATCACTGCAGTCCTACATGTACACTTGCTGACAGTTTCGTTAAAAAGCTTGCAATAAGATGATCAAAAAATAATTTATGAGGTTTTTATATAATTGATACAGTCGATCTGCGCGGCCATTAAATTCAGCCTTTGCGAACAACCTGAATTTATTACGTGCTGTTGTTAAAATCGCTCGAGATAAAAAAATGGTTAGAAATACATTTTGTGACGATGGCTGGCTAGAAACTCTCAACGACGACGTTTAATCCGGGGACTGATCTTCCCAGCTCCCTATTTTACACGCGTGACAGTAAACCGGACCTCATGAATATTCCGGCAGCAATCCGCGCTTCCTTCGTGGAAATTATTTCATTCTCCACGAATCTCTCGTCAAGGGAAACGAACGTAATTTGAGGGAAGTCCGCCCTTATCGGTTGCACTATACCTCACATATAATAGAACATATACCGAACGGGTCGAGCGAAAATCGATGTTTTCCTCTTGGCGAGACTTGGTTTGACGCCGCAAAACTTTTTTCCGCGGTCTCGTGAAACTTCCTGTTTCGGTGGGACCGCGGCCCGACCCCGTCGTTTCAAGAAAAAGAATTTTAAAGGTCAAACTATCGGCCAGAAGTAAGTTTAGAGAGGCTTGTATATTCCAGTGTTCATAGTTTTGGATAGTTTCGAATTACGTTAGGGGACTACTTTGGTATTAGCTGGGTCACGTGTGTATGTGTGTATGCTTTCAGAGATTGGGGAATAAGTTGAAAAGGGTAGCTAGAGTAGATTGAGTTATGAAATAGGGGAAATTTAGGTAGTATTGTACAGACTTGGGTCAGACCTGAACAGAAATTTATATATTATTATATAAGAGAAATATTTAAATGAAGTGATTTATTATACTGATAGTCTAATTTATAAAGTACATTTTTTTTAGAAACTGCAGACTTCTTATTCCGCAAGGTAAGACGTTTAAAATTAGAATATTAAATTAAATCTCGCCCTTGAAACAGGTATCCCGAGCACGAAGTTGCATGGTGTGTATAATCGAATACGGTGATATCAGAATAATTTTCTACAAGGTTACTTTTTCTGGTACGGATTCCGAGATTTCGAGAGCGCACAGCCTCATGGAAATTTCATTTCTAAATAGAATTCTGTGCTACTTTCCACGTTCGTTTATTAAATGAATATTGAGAAACAAGAATCGTATATATAAACATTTTCAACGATTAAATTGGTAATTTTAGTCTACCAGAGGATTTCTGAAAGCAAGATTCAAATCGATATATCGTCAAGTGGGCGAGACGTGAAAGCAATAATAGAGATATTTTCGATTCGATAAACAATGGTAGGAATAATTCGATCGCTTAGCAGCGTTTTGTATTCGACCGTTTTATTCTGTTACTATATTTGTTTACTCTACGAATTTCAGCATTGAATTTCTACCACGATAGAGCGTCGATATTCATATTCTTTTCTATCAGTTTTCGAATACCACGTAAGAGTTACGCGCTCGGTTCGTAAATAACGTTGCTGCGAGTATTTCTTTAAAACCCTGCACGATCGGGGGTGTACCTCAAGAGTTTCATGTTAAGTCGTTATGCGAACACGCGAGCTTCGATGCTGCAAGGGCGAGCGTGACGTAAGCAGGCCGTTTTTTGAAATACGACGTCGTCTCGAGCACGCCGGTAATTGCTGTTACATGCTACGCCGCGTGTCCGACAGAAAATCTCGTTGAAGCTTTTCGCGGCGGGTACGCCTTCCGCCACAATTAAGACGGTTTTTAGGCCACTGAATCGTTGTAACAGAAATCTGCCCGCGAAAATATTGTCCGGACCGAGAGAAACTCGAAATTCGACGCTCTCTTTTAGATTATTAAGATTAACACTATTCCTACCGACACTTCACGTATACTTATTCCTACCGCGACCGGTCAAACGACCGGTTTTCAGCAAAACTTATATTTTTTAATATAGAATGAAGATAATAGCCAATTTTACAGTATAAAAATATAGTTTCTTTTATTCAGATAAAATAAGAGTAGAATAATGATAGAATAAAAATATAAAATAATAAACGACTACCGAATATGATCCAGGCAACTTTCACGTTTTGATGTTCTCTGTTCGAATCACAAGACTTTACTGATTTGAATTCGTGAGAAGTCGTTTAGGCATCCCCTGCGGTTATGATTTTATTTATTTTACAGTTATAATAGATAAGACGGTGTAAGAAAATCCGAGGTTTTGGACCACTTTAGATACCAGTCTGGCAAATAAACACCATAAGGCCGATAGGCGAGTGAGGATTATAAACACTTGAAAGTGCCCAAAGCAGTCTATGGAAGGCACTTTTCAGTTAAAATCATGCCACAATTGTATTAACTTTCGTTTGTAACAACTTTATAGTTTCAGAATTGAGTCTTCGAGATAATACTGTTACAAAAAGATATAAATCGTTCAACCGGTAAAATGACCGGTTGTAGTAGGTAAGACAGACTACAAATTTTTCTCAGAAAATAAACAATAAAAAAATAAGTGAATATTGAAAAAAGTATTATAAAAGTATATTTTAGGAAAAGTCGTGAAGTTTAAAGGTGATGCAAATACGTTGTATATAGGAAATTCTAAACGAAATTTAAAAAACGGTCATTTGACCGGTCGTGGTAGGAATAGTTAAATCGTCCTTTGATCGAACTAGCAAAAATTCAATACTGAAAAATCGAGCGAATCAACTCACCTCAATACGAATATATTAACTATCAAAAATTAAAAAAAGGAACTTTGAAAATTTATTTTATTTGTAAAGCAGGCGACAGTATTTGTTTAGGAAAATCGACTGTGGTTGCACGAATTGTGGAAACAAAGGAATTAATATAATATTTGTTAGCTCTGTTTATTTTGTATATTTGTTATTAAGTGTAGGTATGGTTGGAATATACAGTAATTTCATATTTCTAATATATTGCAATATTTTCTGTTAGCTCGTTTCACGACGAACCGAGACAAAGAAACAGAATCGACTTGATTCGAGAAAATACAGAATATATTCGAAACTCGAAAGCGAAATTTCCTTTATTGGAAAAAATACAATGGAATTCGGTCATATAAACCGCTTCAAATTTGCTTTGTCGGACGAGTTTTGATTTCATGTTTGGTATAACTGTTTCTGCAATGCAGATAGAACCGAACCAAAATATACAGAATCTCTTCTTGCTTCTATTATTTTCGAAACTACAGCAATTCAAGTCATACTCGTCTCTGTTTTCCTTAAATATCGAATATCAAAAATAAAAGTACATAATATAAGGTTATTCGATATCACGGGAGATCAGCTTCTAATAAGTTGATGTATAATTCTCTTTGTAAAAAATTCATTTTCGTTTTGGAGTGGCTGATTGGTAGTCTTTGTTCCGAATATCGTTCGGGCGTCAAACAAACCGCGCCCATAAGGGCCGACATTCCTCCGTTTGAATTTCAAATCGTGGCTTTTCAACAATTTTCGATTGACCTGTCGAAAACGTAAGGGCGGTGGGGGGTTTGGGGGGTGGTTTGGTACACTTCGTTAAATGAAGTTCAATTTTCACGATGCGATAGTGGCATCCGCGGTTGTGATTTCTGCGGGGATTAAGTCTCGTGGCGTCGAGTTTCGACGCAATCCTTGGCGAACGTCGCGTTGATCCGCGCGTGTCGATTCAATCGTGGAACGACGACGCAAATATTTTTTAGAAATCGAGAATGTAAATTTCGTAAATGGTAATAAACTTTTGAATCGTTGATACATCGGAAACAACTATGAACGAACGAAATAAATTTGCGAATCGGAGGGCGAACAACGCGAGATAAATTGTTTATATTCGTGAAATACCATGTTGCTCTTTATTTGAAAATTGCTTTTGGGAACGCAGAGCGCGAACGTTTCGATGAATTCGATCGCTTTAAATTTTCCAGATAAAGAATAGAAGTAACGCGCCGCGGTATTCAAAGTCAATGGGAATCGTATTTTTATACACGCAATCGTCGTGTCGTCAACCCAAATTGAATCGCACGACATTTCCGGGCCCACCGGACCGGAGATAACATTTCCGACGCGCGAACCTTCGATCGAAAATTTTATAACGTCGAACGAGCATACTCTGCAAAGCACTAGTGGACGGTGTATACAAATAATGGATCGTTGACAGACGATTTGCAATAAATGCGCGCCGTTAATCCTCGATTTGTCGCTGGGGAACATTATAAATTTTATCAATGCAAATTTCAAAAGGCGATTTCAGCAGATTATTCGTCGAACTATATAATTAAATTCAATTTCAACTTTTTAATCGTCTCGACTCTTCTTCACGTGCGCGAGAAACGTTAACCCTGATTTAACAAAAATATAAACTCGGATTATTTTTTTTCAAAAAAAAAAAATTATTGCTTTTATTTTTATATTTCATTGACAGAGCATGGCGAATTACACAAACGAATGAATTTACAAAACTCTGTCCCGCTGACTCTTGCCTTGGTGCTGTTGCTTAAGAATTGAGTAGTACTGTGTCGTATATGGTCAGACGGATAATCATTAGGAAGAGTACAGGCGTCGAATAGAAGATTCGAAACGGTTCAAAGCGAGATTCTAAATCGCGATTGCAATTTCTGGTGTGGTCAACGATCGATTTATCGGTCAAATCGTCCGCAACGAACCATGGAAGAATATTAGGTTACCGAAAAAACGACGCAACACCATAACGCAGTACACGCAATCAGGTTGCACGACGAGGCGCGTCGCTCGATATCGAACCACCCTCGAGGGACCTGTCTGTTCGTGATCATTTCTCGAAGACGGGGATCTGTCGATCCGCCTCGTCCCTCGAAGACGACGCGAACGGCGCGACAGTTATCGATCTCGCGACAGAATAGCCGCGTTCGACGTCGTCGTCATGCGGGGATCGAGCTCGAGAACGGGAGATCAGGAAACGTTCCAAGGAACTCGTTAACATCCTCGACAAGGACACGTGAGGGGGGCGCGACAGGACTCGTCGAAACAAACAGTACTGCTTCGCTTCGTGCATCGATACGCGTATCGCCTTCTTGCAACTCATCGAGACATCAGACTTACGATTCTTTAAAATATTTATAGAAAATTAATTCTAACGTTTATAGAGCTTCAAATAATTTTGTTATCGGATTAGGTGGTTATAACCAACGCAAGCAGGAGAGGAATTTTGTTATTTAAAAACCAATTTGTTTGATTTTGATCAGAGCAGAGTCTCGAATTTCTATTGTAAGAAAGTTGGTGGTCTCGATTCGATCGCGAGAAGAGAGACAGTACGGTCCACGCGAAGGAACGATGCAAACCGTGACCGATCCTGAACGCGAGATCGACGTACAAAGAAAGGATTTACACAGAGCGACAGATTCATCTGTTCCGCGGCAAGGACACAGACAAAGTTGCACATTTTTAGGAATCGGGATGGAACAGCACACTCCGACAGGACGGTCAAGAAGCACTGGTCACACGAAGCTTCGATAGGGCATCGGTCGTGGTCGTCGTGATCTCGTCCAACGAGTATCCAAAAACGACCGTATTCGATTATTTCCAGAGTCTCTCTCTGGTCTTATTTCTTTCGCGAGATCCGCGGCGAAGTTGAATCGAAGCTCGAGAAGAGGATTCAATTAGACGGGGAATATCAACGGCGGCAAAACGAAACGGATAAAATAAGAGGCAGCCGGTTAATGCTTGTCTCGAATTGCGAGGGAATAGTTCCGGGGAACGAGCAGATAATTAAAATTTAATTAATTTGTTCCGCGGTAAAATATTGCCTCGAACGAAAATATCCACCGAATTCAATTTACAATATTGCTCTTTGTTGTTTATAGATATTTCGAACTGTACGTTCCCGTAAAATTGATTTTTCGATTTTCATACCAGTGCCCAATGGGTTCGTTAAAGTTCGAGTTTCGCGTTGTAAATTTTCTCGTTAAATTTGCGTGTTGTATCTCGTCGAGTTTCACGTTGCTTTCGTCGAAGCGTCGAAGATACGCGAGGAAAGTGAAAGTTGGATGGAAAATTGATAAAGTTTCGTTGCTCGTAAACGCAAGACGTAGATTTTGGTTTCACTTTCGCCGAGGTAAGCGTCGCTTCGCGATGAAGGCCGAATCCCTAATTGGAAAACTTTATTCGGCAAATTCCGCGTCGTCGATTCCAGTCCGCGAGCGAACATTAGCGGGAATCTCGAGCGGAAAGTTGGCCCCCGGCGGGGATGTAGAACAGCTAAAAATCGAACAACAGGTGTACTCGAGTCGCGGTTTTCAAATACAACGGCGGCTCGTTTAATTCGCGTATGGAAATCAGGACGGAAGGAATCGCGAGCGATCGCGGAGCGGCCATTGACGAAATTATTTCCTCGACACGTGATCGTTCTCGATCGATACCGGGGGAACATCGAGTCTTCGTTCGGAGAAGAAAAAACTCATATTTATTTAAAAATAAACGGAAAATTTCTGTCGTACTTTTATACCGTAAGTTGCAGACTCGTCCAAATAGTTGAGGCGTCACAATATTAGGATGATTTTAATTGGGAAGTACTCGGACAAAGATATTAGAATATACTTTAAGGTTTATTCAGAGACTGAACGCTGATGCACTTCGTATAGAATCAAATGTGAAAATGAGCACGGAGGGCCAGGAGCGGTACGCTTTTATAACTTTTGGTTCAGGTACAGAGAAGTTAGATCTGGGCGTATGACGCATTCGTTTTTACACGTAAAGGAGTCAATAAGTTTGTCATCATATGAGTAATACTTATTTCTATAACAAAAGGATCTACGTATATCGAATTTCGAGGGTGAGCTGTGTCATTTTCCAAAGGTGATTTGGGCGTTTTGCCAAGCATTGCACGCGGAATTACATCGCGGCAATATTTGTCTAACATAGTTGTTCGAATAACGTTATTTCAAATTTCGACCGTCCTTAACAAGAATTATTTTTGATTTTTTAAATATACAGGGTGTTCGGCCATCCCTGGGAAAAATTTTAATGGTTGATTCTAGAGGCCAAAATACGACGAAAATCAAGAATACCAATTTGTTGATGGAGGCTTCGTTAAAAAGTTATTAACGTTTAAAACCCGTAATCGACTCCCGCAACCGAAAATAATTTTTCCAGAACGATTTGAAATTTTTTCTTATCGTCGAAAAATTTAGGCACCTAATTAGATTTTCGGTAAGAAATTTTTGTCTCGAAAGTGCGTAGGATTTCGGGGGTATTTGTAATGATAAAAAATTATTGTAATTGAAATTTTTGAATTTAATTGTTAATAACTTTTTAACGAAGCCTCAACCAAGAAATTGATATTCTTGATTTTCGTCTTGTTTTGGCCCCAGAGGTGGCCGAACACCCTGTATAATGAACAGCAAAGTTCCAATGTTTGATTCGTGTAAATATCTTCGTAAAGGTTGGAGAATACAGATTTGTGTGTTTTAAAAGAGATCGGAAGGTCGAGATTAAAGGTAGGAAACGCGTAAGGGAGCATAATACGAGTTGCGTTTAATTAAAGAGCGTTTGCTGGTTAATTAACCCGTCGATGGGGTTTGCTTTGTGCGGGAAAAAATACGCGGGAACGTTCGACGACGACCACGACCAAGACGGCAGCAACGACAACGACAACGACGACGTCGATGACGACAGTGAACGAGGAGGACGACGACGATCAACCAGGAGAACGGTACACGTCGCTCACGCTGTTTAATTTTCACGAATTTGGACGGCCAACAAGCGATGCGCATACGTGTCTCGTATGTACACCTCTGTGTTGCTTGTATTAATAATATATATATATATATAGGTATTCGTAGACGCGAGTTATCGTTCAACGGGATTAATGGACAATTGATTACGTACCAGCTCGGAGACCAATGGCACCGATTTTCGGCGCGGCCGAATGTCCGGCATGCTGTCTATGTTGCTGTAGAAAGGATTGTCTCCAGGATGCCTGAAAGAGAACACAATTCATTAATTTAATAACGATTATACAATAATAATCGCTAACCAAGATTCCCTTTTTCATGGATCGAGAGACTTGTTGACGTTTATAAATATAAAAGTTATTCGCGAAAATTCTTGAATCACGTTTCATGTATTTCAAGTTCGGTAATATATATATTTTAAACCTCGATAAGTTTCATTTAAATAGTTCGAGTTCTCAAATTACACAAGCATTTATTTTGAAAATCTGGAATCCGACAAGTGATTTTATTTCAATTCCAAAACCAAATAGAATTAATTCAGCGGCGTAATATATTTTCGTTTTTAAGTGTATTTGCGAGACCGATAATGCTCCAGAAAGATTTCGTCGATTACAATTTTACTATTACAAATATATATTTTCCTGGGGGTAAACAAAGGGCCATAAAAGGAGCGTAATAACATTTTACGATCCATTGCGATGAATATCAACAGGTTTCCGGTATGATATCGTTGCTCGCGGAAAGAGTGTGGTCGTGCATGATTAAAACTTGACGGATCGCTATCGGGAAGCCTGCATTTTACGTAATCGAAGTAATTTAGTAATTAAGTTCGTAAAACCTTCGAACCTCAAATCATCGGCTCGTTCTGGAATTTATGGAGACTTCGATAGTACAGCGATCGCGTGTCAGGGAGTATCTGATCGTAATAAATCTTTTCCAAATTAAACCGAAGCCCGAATCGATATTAGATCGAAAGTAATCGAACTTTCAAATGAAATTGGAAACTACGGCTTTGAAGACCTTGTCGTGATACTTAGTCGATCGGGAATTTTAAGCAATCTTATCTCGCGTCCTTATCCTGTCTTCTATCTTCGTTATTATTTTGAAATACTTTCTGATCTCTCTTGACGTTAGAACAATTTTATTAGAAACTTCAAACGTAAAAAATTTCTAAAATCAGCTGGATTTTCGGAAAGTCGTACAAGTAAAATTTTTAAAAAGGTTAGAGAAAGGTTAATCCCACTGCAAATATATTTACGTTGAAATTTAATTGCACCATCGATTGAGAAATCTTTGAACATTAAGAAATTTTAGCACCATTAATATAAGGTGTCTATAAATACTGAAACCCGCGTCTCGACGATTTTTCGACCAAGATTTATAGTTTTCCGCGACGACCTAATTTTCCCTCGAGTTCACGTTTAATTACACAAACTTTGTTAACAGATCTGCGATTGAATGTCAGCCGAGCAAAACTTCGCTAAGTATGGTGTAATATAATCCATCACTCGGGGATGCTTCGCGCCATTATCGTCTCTCTATTTTTTAATTTGTTTACTCGAACAGAGGCCGTCACGCGAACTCGATATCACGCACGGACGAATTAAGATTACAGTTTTCGTACTTTTGCAGGAAGACCCAGTTTCGACAAATCTCTGTTTATCTATGAATCTACAAGAGCTAAAAGAAAAACTGAAAAATTTCTGTTATTTTAAAAATTACAACTGTCCCCGATCGTATAATATGAATTCGTGCCCTTTGGAGTTTCTTTAAGTAATCACCGTAATAGACGTACTCGACGACCTATAAATTGATTTTATTGCTTTACTTTCTGGTAGAATGGAAGGATCGAGTGACCGATTCGAAGCGCGATCGGTAATTCTGGTCGTAACGCGATCGTCTAAACGTTGGGCAAATAAACGATCGACTTTTACGACTAGGGAATTATACAAATGGTTCTTTAGCTTTCAGTCTGATGAACCTTGTCGTGAAAGGGTCAGGGGCGATCTAACGTCAGATTACGCGAAAGAAAATGATTTTTCAATCGATGGTTTATCAACACCAAGTACAATAAAAATAAAGAAACACGTGAAATAACAATTTTCTTGTTATCAGAACAGGAATCATTTTACGTTTTGTAAAGCTTCACGGATCTTTTAGGGAAGCGACTCGCGTATCGTGATTTATCGCGGGAAAGTCGTTAAGATCCCTACGCGTACGCAAAATGTTCTCGTACATTTTACGTTCTGGACGCGTTATTTTCGCGACTAATCCACGAGCTCAACCCACCGACGCGACGACTTGATTTATCGTAAAATGTGTCGGGAAAAAGAAACGTGAAGTTGAAAAGACAGCCCCGTTCTACTATAGCGAAGAACAGGCAAAGAGGACGTCATTCATGCGGTTAATCCGCCTTCGAATCCTGTCGTGGCAGGGCTCGATGACGAGATTCTCCGCCATTTTTCGAGCACGCTAATAGAAATTTTCCGCGTCAGATTTTATTGACTGGATGAAAAATGAACCCCGGAGATTTTCATTTTAGCTTGGAATCCTCCGGGAGGGGAGAACTGTTTCGCGAAATCAAATTTTCCTTATCAAATTTCCCGCTTTCTGCATTCGGGGACGCCGAAAAAAGGATCTCAAGACCTCTCCCTCCGGACGAGGACGGTTCACAAGTAAACTTGCAGCTTCTGTCGCCGGCAGAAATAAATAATTCGAGCCTACGATGACTGAAATACTTCTTACCTGCTTGTATGATATTTAGAAAATGAGTACTGTGTAATGAAGTTCGAAGGTCTGATATCAGAGAATTTGTTAATTAAAAAGTTATACAATTTCGATTCAAACGGAACTCTGGAATCAATCAGTGTAATTTTACGCAATAAAAATGAATAAAAAAAATTACGCAAAGTTAAAGAACGATCTGTGAAGCTATTTTTTCGCGTCGTATCGCGTACCAAACGATCCGTGTTCCAAATGATATCCGATAGTAGCCGTTACCCGGGTGCAAAAAGTATGCAAAACCCGGGACCAAACAGCGGGGAAATCAGAAAATGAAAATTTCCCCCAGTGGACGAAGGGATGCAACGATCGCTTTGAAGTCGTTGCGTTTACTCACCCGTTCCCCCGTCCGCCGGATTCGCCTCCAGGTCCGCTGCCGTTCTAACAAACAAAAAAACAAGTTTATTAAAAAACAAGCCTAGTAACAGTTCGAGGAAAAACCAAACGGAGAACGCGCGTTCGCGCGAACGACGGCGCAGGCGTACGAAAAAATATTGTACACAGTCTTTGGGTTACGCGCGGCCACGGAAATCTCCGATCGACTCCCGAATCTTCGACAATTTACTTTTCTTTTTTCTCTGTTCCGTGGCCGTGCACGCACAATGCTTTGTCCCGTACACAAATCAGTCTCTTTCCGACGACTTAAGGGTAAGAAAAGCTCCGGATGAAACGGAGAATCGAGCACGGATCGGGGGCCTCGAGAGGAAGCAGTCTTCGCATTCAAAAAAGACCAGAAAACGGAAGAAATTCCCGGTTGTTTTCCAGCAAACCTTTTTCTCGCCGTTCCCCCAGCTGTTGACTCGGATTAAGACCTTCCTTGCCTCCGACTGTTTTCTTCCAGACCAGTCATTGTCCGCGAACGCGTTTTTGCCCGACAGCGGTCCGCTTCCGGGTCCAACATCGTGTCAAATGCACCAGCTACTCCTGGTTAATCTCTCGGCTACATCCTTTTTACATTCGTTTGTTCCCAGCGCGGTCATTAATCGAAATACTCGCTTTAAGAACCATTGTGAACGGAGAAAGACGTTTCCACCCGGTGGGGTTGAATCGTCTCGATGTCGATCACTTTAATGGCCTGTTTGGACATTTAAAACCGTCGCGAATGTACTCGAAACGATCCACTTACTCTCCTTTTACACGGGTATTTTTTTACGATTCTTTTTTTTCAAACACTCAGTCACCGAAGTTTGGAAATGATAGAACTTTTATCAATCAATCGTTTGTCGTACATGCGCAGTGAAACGCGAGGACTAATAATGTCGTACGTTAAGAAAATTTATTTCACAAAGTTTTCCAGCGAACGCGTTTTATGTATTTCTATCGATCAGGGATGGACATCCAAACACGCGGCCAACCAAAACCAATTTTCCAGCGCGGTCGTTAATAAAAAGTTTTGAGCCCAATTCGAAGAAACGTATCGACGTCTCGATGCCCGACATTTAATTGAAATTGTCTAGCCCTCTTGCCTTTGACACTACGTTGCGAAAAATTTCGTCCGGATCTCGTTCGCCATTTTCGCAACGCGTTACGTTCGCTCCGGAAGCGGACCCACGCCGAGTCTCGTTGTTCCCGCGTTCCTCCTCTCGTTTCCCCAGTTTCCGGTCTCCGTTCTTCGCGTTTGCACTCGCCTGCGCCTCCTCTCGTTTCTCTCTCGTTCGCCCGGTGTCGCACGGAGAAATGGAAGATTGGAGATAGTGTGTAACAGCCCGTATAAATATAATATCACGTACAATACTCGTAAATTCTGTCACGATAGAGATACAATATAAACTTATGGATAGCGTAACAAGTATAAGTATTTAGAGTTAGAGCCGCAGGTATCTTCGTCCCTTTGTTCGCCATCGTCGTTCCTATTCTTCTCTCTCGCCCAACCTCCCCCAGTATCGTCGTTCGCTGCCCTAATTCTCACTCGTTCGCGCGAACAGTCGTGCGGATTAGGGGGTTTCTCTCTCGAAAGCTCAGACAACATCGGAGGCGTGACGAGCTATTTCGCATCAACGCGTTCTTTTCTCACCTCTGTTCGTTTCTTCTCCCGGTTTAATTTGTTCGCGTTTAGCCACCAAGTGGGCGCCCCCGGTGGCGTCTCCGCGACGAAATACGATACGTCCCCGGTCGAGAGAAATTTTTGCGCGGGGTCTGGGACAGTCGTTGCGGTTGTAAAGTCGCGTAGCAAAAATAGGGAAGCGTTCGCAAATTTTCGATTCGTCCTTCGGAGCAAGTGCGTTTTGCGAAGCAATTTTTCTTTAGCGCTCGAAACAACAAAAACGGATGGAAGAAGATGGAATGTTACAGGATTTTCGATGAACCGTATCGATGTGAATCAAATCGACATTTTAGTTAACTATGGACTACGTTCTCCTTTCCAATATGAATTACAGTCATTAAACATTCGCATTAATTATCAACGGGATACCTTTTCTATATTGCTGACGCTGGCCCAATAAACATGGTCGAAACGCGTAATAATTAAACGTTTACATTATCATAAGCGACTCGTTAATTTTGCAAAATTATGCATCATCGAAGTTTCGCAGGAAGTACGTTTTATGCAGAATTGTTTCATACCATTTTTTCCAACGTTCGATTAAACGTTATGAATTTCCCACGATTACTGTCGTCGAGTTCTTGCTGGACTCGAGAGAAACGGAATTTGTAATGCGAATTAATTTTCTCGGCGACATTTTAATCGTATCAGCCGAACGTTTCCATAGGATGCAAGGGAATTAAATCATCCGCGTTGTATATAAACGGCGTCACATCTGTACCGGAAATTGCATACAGAAATTACGTGTAATTGCAAACGTTTCCGGCGTGGAAAAATAACGGTGTAATACGGTCCGGTTTGTAAGGTGCAAAGGTGCACAAAGGCTTCGATAGTTGGCGTGGACCGTTTTAATTAACAACAACAACGAACAATGGAAAAATTACCTTCGACGAACGTTCATTTCCGGACGACGAGAATAATTAGTACCAAATCGGCTGCTAAAATATATTAAATAATTGTTTCTGTAGCTATACTGATATCATTTTTCGAGCGAATATTGCGCCGTTTTCTTCGCAGCTACAGTCGAATGAAACTCAATTGTTCGCCCAAGACCACTTTGTTGATCATGACTGACGTTACAGACAAGTCTTGGATACTGTTTTAAGGACACGGGGCTCGTGTCTTTAGGTTTGCAAGAAAAAACCTGAGACAGAACAGATGGTCCCCCAAGTGTTCTCGAGCTGATGATTTTGATTCGACTGTAGCTCGACTGGTTGAAAAATTCTTACAGCAATAAGACACGGGCTTATAGATCTCCCCAAAAGAAAGAAAGAAGAACGTAAACGTTTTATTTATTCGGTTACGGGCGGGAGTGCGAGATGAGATGTAAACGAATGATTCGAGGGAGCAGAAAGGTTGTTAAATTAGACGCGTTTGTCGATCCTCGACGACGCGGAGACGCACTCGAGGGCTAGTTAACTACAACTGATTAGTTACCATACGTTACATATCTAAGTGGAATAGCATCGCTTCGCGAGTATAATTTTGACAAGCGTTTACTTAACAACGAAAATACCGTGTACTTATACACCGCTAACAAGTTGTCCGTTATCTATTATTAGGCCTTAACAACGTACTTCCTTTAATTCTGCTTAAACGCTAAACGCTGTTCGACCAGCACCGCTAAATTTACACTACGATCGAGAAGTTTTATGAAATTCGCAAGGCTTCGACCGCGATTATCTGCGTCGATAGACGCGGTCGAACGATCCTCTCTGCCTCTCTCGATGATATGGATGCTTAAAAATGGAAAACGACACCGACGATATGAAACTGTGCGATAAGATGGCCGCTCGTCGAGACACCGCACGCACGATACAAGGAACATCGATATTGACTAATTATTAATATCATCGTTCGGCGATATTTTCGCAGACAGAGTCCACCCTTCCCAAGGAACCCCGAAATCGGCCTAAAATCGTCTCTAAGACGTCTCCTTTTCGATGATTTCGTACGACGCGCATTAAACTACGGATTCGCATGGACCGCCATCTTGACAGTGGTCAGGGCTCACCACTTGCTTCGCTTTTCGCTTTTCTAAGGTAAATTTTACGTGTAATGTTGAGGTAGCGATGCCTCGACGAGGTGACGTTCGTGATAAAGCCTTCTGAGATCGTCGTCGTTTCGTCTGCGCTCCAAGAGTTTCGCGATCGACGATTCGATGATGGAGAAACGTAACCGATTTGCCTTTTCTTTCTATAATAATTGGAAATCGGTCACGAGATGATATGTGAATAGAGATTGATACGTTAGGAATGACTTCGAACTTTCGTCAACGTTTCTCAAGGCGTGAGCCTTCGCCATTTTCGCAGGTCGTTTTTAATTAGCGCGAATCAATATACTTCCCGTTCTGTTATTTTAATGATATTAATCTCCCTGATCTCACCGTCTTTTTAAATATGATTTTGTTAACTTTTTTCGTTTAGTGTCATCTTGAACTCTTCGTAGATATTTACATATATATCTGCTACTAGAATATTTAAAAACTAAATTATACGGTACTAAAATCTGCCCTGAGCACTGATTTTTCAGACTTGCAAGACAGTGATTTGTAAACCATTGTAATACTTTTCCGCCCCGTTTAACCAAAAGTTAACGTCAGCGTCGAGTCCAGAACAGAATGCGCCCAGAAAGTTTCCAGGCAATGTTTCAGCTTTCATTGTACACCATTGAATGCGCTACCATTAATTTCCCGTCAACCGCGCGAAATAACTCAAAGGGTTGAATATCATTCGAAACCATAAACATGAGAAACACTTGGCGCGCGTTAATGAAATTTGCACGCACGTACCCACTTTAGGCCACTGGATGAAACTCCGCGCGATCCGGAACAAAAGCTGACGACTTTATCCACGACGTTAAGCTACATTGTTTAATTTCACCCGCTTTTTCCTCGAGGCGAATTCAATTGGCTCCCAGGAGCAATTAAGTTTTCATTTCGTAAACGCACGAGAGGAAATTATAATCGAATCGCTAATTCAGGATCGTTGAATTTCGTGAAAATCACAGTATTCTCTCGCTTATTGACCGAATTCCTTCCCTCGATTACTGTTCGACGTCGCCAGGGCCACGACGAGGCAATGTTTTGTTTTTAGAACACTTTGGACTACTTTCTTTGAGTTATTCTCACGAAAGGAAAAAATGAAATAGAATTCATTCGTTGTAACTGAACGGTTCGCTATCGGTTAGCGAGAGAATTTTCTTGGCAATTCTCGTGAAAGTTCTCCGATTCGAAGAAGAACGGGAACGTATCCGCGACGATGATTAATTGCCAGCGACGAGGACAACAGAGACGAATGGGAAAAAACTCCCGAGGATGCATCCGCGAGCTGTTTAC